ATCCAGGCAAGTTAGATGCACGAGTTCCACTCCATAAGGACCAAGTCCACAAACAAATGAGGGTCCACCTCTGATTATTTTTGCTTTTGTTTTTTTTCCAGTTTCATTCGCCTTGCCGACTATCTCATTGTAAACACCATGCATGCTCTTGCTGTCAACTCGGTTGCGACTCTGCTCAATTATTTGGAAGAACAACTTCAGTATCTGAAAGATTCTTCAAGCCCCAGTGCTGATGAGAGTGTAAGTACCTGAGTTGTGTCTACAGTAAGTATCAGTGCTTGTTCAAGTTCTCTCGAGCTTTCTCACTGCTCAACCTTCTGCACAACAATATTTTTTTATATAAAACTCAACAAATAATGGATTGTAAAATGGGACCAATATTATTATAGTATATGAGTATATATAAGGGAATCTTGCAATGTAATGTTGTGTGGTAAATAAATTGATTGATTGATTGATTGATTGATTGATTGATTGATTGATTGACAGTAGTTTATACCATTGGACATACTAGAGATAGTTATTACTTATCAGAGTGAGAAAATAGTATTAATACTTTTCATTATTTGCCATAGTCTTGTATTTGGAAGCAACCATCCTTATTTCGCAGTCACAATTTCTCGCGAAGAATTTCGCCGTCCTGGAATCAGGCCTTTGCACATTAAATGATACAGCATAGCACTGTTTTTGATGTTCTCTAAACTGATTGTGTACGTCATGTTATTTGCAATATAGACTCAAGACGAGGCTGCAGTGGAAATGAATCCTTTGTTTATCACTGAGTTGCTTGTGGAGCCTCGTTCACTGTTCTTCAGTCCCGACCTAGAGGACTTTCAGGAGGGCGTACATGAAGTAATCAGTCATTTTCAAGAAGCTGTGCTCAGTGTTCATAACCTGGTACCAGATATTTACTTCCAGGCGTTCACCAGGTGAGATTATTCATTAGTATTTATTAAGTTGGGCATAGTAGCCTGCTTGCAGCCTCAACCCGAATGTATTAAATAAAAATTCGGGTTGAGGTTGCATGCAGGCTAATGGCATAGTGATTAGTGCGTGTTTTTCATCTTTGTGATCCAGTTTTCTTTTGTACTAACAGTGGATCAATAAGGAATTGCCCTTACCCTCTAGGAAGAACGGTTTAGAACTGATAGAGATGTCAAGTATGAATGAAGTTAGTTAGGTTTCCTCCTGCACTAACACTGGATCAATAAGAGATATAACTCTTACTGGACCTCTACGGAGAACAGTTCAGAACTGAAAAAGCTATCCAGTATAAATAAAGTTAGTTTAGTAAACTAAACCTGTAGTAACACTGGATCAATAAGAGATAACTCTTACTGGACCTCTACGGAGAACAGTTCAGAACTGAAAAAGCTATCCAGTATAAATAAAGTTAGTTTAGTAAACTAAACCTGTAGTAACACTGGATCAATAAGAGATGATCTTTACTGGACAGTGAGAATATTTAGAACTGATAGATGTTCCTAGTATATAGTTAGGATAACTGTGTTGTCTATTTCTGCAGTCCTATTATTAATGGTAAAGTTGAAGACAGAAACGTGGGCGAAGGACCGAGCCTGACAATGATGTTTGAAGATGATAAACATTTGCAACATCTCAATGAGAAGTTGAAGGTACATGCATGATATTCTGTTGTTACCCTATATGTTATCCCTATGTTGTGTTTACCCTTGTGTCCTGTCCCTCTCTAATGGAGTTAGACGTAACGTAGGAAATAGGTGCACTTGAAACAACCGTATCGAATTGATGGATTTCACTAAACACTATCATACATGAGACAGTGGTCAACCAGTCTTGTAGTTATCAGAATGAAAACATGATGTTAACTTTTTTTCATTATATATAGTAGTCTTTGTTTACGAAGTTCTAGGGTTGACCACTAACTACTGACATGTAGCACTATTATTGATTCACCACCGATAGTAAAGCTAGCGTCTAAAAATCCTAAAGTATGTTCTCCTTAACGTATATAGGAAGCTGTAACGTCCGCCTTCGACTCCGCCACAAGGTTTGGGAACACTCTAGAACCATACAGACAATTTTACCAAGAGAACGAGAGTTTGGATTTGGAGGAAATGAAGACTCAGGAACATGGTATTCCACTGTCATCTAATGTCACAATTGACAAACTTAATTTTCTTCTAATGTCAATTTTGTCATCTAATGTCACAATTGATAAACTTAATTTTCTTCTAATGTCAATTTTGTTATCTAATGTCAATATTGACAAACTTAACTTTCTTCTAATGTCAATTTTGTCATCTAATGTCAATATTGACAAACTTAACTTTCTTCTAATGTCAATTTTGGATTTGAGGAAATGAAGAGTCTGGAACACCATATTCCACACTTGCAACTTTTCTTTCAAACTGTTCTATTTGTCAATAATGTTTATGTTTTCTAGATGTTCCATTTTTTTCCTCATCATTGGAGAAATACACGACAGAACGTATGTTGGTGGAGAAAGTGCCGGATAAAAAACCCATTGGAATGTTGTATCTGGATTGCACTAAACTGAAGCAAGTTCTCATGCCCTCGCCACTGAAATGTCTTGATGTGAGTTAATGTACATAAAGCTTGCCACCTTGTATACCGAATTACTCTTTAGTTCTAAAATCATGTTTTCTCTTGAGGTCCAGTAAGGATCATCCGTTATTTGCCCAGTATTGCTGCAAGATGAAACTTTACTTATAGTGGATAGTTCTATCAGTTCTAAACTGTTCTCCTTAGAGTTCCAGTAAGGATGCCTTGTTGATTCAGTGTTACTACACGAGAAAACCTAAACTAAACTAACTTTACTTATACTGGGTAGTTCTATCAGTTCTAAACTGTTCTCTGTAAAGTTCCAGTAAGGATGCCCTGTTGATCCAGTGTTAATACAGGAGGAAACCTGAACTAACTTTACTTACACTGGATAGTTCTATCAGTTTTAAACTGTTCTCCCTATAGTTCCAGTAAGGATTCCTTGTTGATTCAGTGTTACTACAGGAGGAAACCTAAACTAACTTAACTTATACTGGATAGTTCTATCAGTTTTGAACTGTTTTCTCTAGAGTTCCAGAAAGGATGCCTTGTTGGGACCATAACAATATTTCATTTCGTTGTGTAGGTTATTCACGAGATCTTGCCGCAACTCGCAAAGAAGCGAGTGGATCGTTTGATGGAATTCTGTCAAGACTCTCAGTTTAAATTAGAGATCGTTCCCACTGCAACCGAGGAATTCGTCGATAGTCTCACGTTCTTGGACGAGATACAAGAACAGGTAGGTTCATCAAAGTTTTGTGAGATCGAAGAAGAGACAGGGGACTGTCTGTATCACAATTTTCAGGTGGATTTTACACGTTGCATAACTGTAAAACTCTTTCAAAGCCAGCGTGCATTTACTTTGAATATAGATTGAAGATTTGGAGTCAGATTGCACGACTGCGAAAGAACTTTATAATTTGATTGAAAACTACACCGTGCCAACACCACCTGAAGATTTGGCCGTTTATCAGGTGTGTATATAATAAATTTATCTTTTATATTTATCTTTTAAATTTATCTTTTACACTGCTATCTAATGAAATAATTTATTTCTTGTCTGTAGACTCTGAACAATGCCGTGTCGATGGTTCGTAGTGCTATAGACAAAGCGCTGGCTGACAGAGATCAAAATCTCGACAAGTTTTGTACGCGCTTGGATAAAGATATTGCGTTGCTTGGAAAGGAAGTAAAGTCGGTCAAACAACAAGCACAGGTATAGATGTTATCTTCTCATTTTAACCTTAGTTTATCAAAGTTTTTTTCCTGGACATTTGAATATTATCATGATATTTATTATTATTAGCCATGCGTGCTATTGATAACCCTGTTTCTGTTGTAATATTACTGAATTTGTGATTTGCAGACTATTCTTCATTTAAATTTATTTGTGTTCAGAATCCAATAATCCTTGATCCTTCCTCCGAATCCGAGAAAGTCGTTGGTTTTCTGGGTGAATTGCAAGAAAAAATGGATGAATTGCAAAAGAGAGCTTTCATGTACAAATCATACCAGAAAAACTTCAAGGTACGTCGGTTGAAAGATTGACAAGCATACCGCTATAATCTGTGCAACTTCTGTTCTATAAGACTTCTACAAATTTATGTATTTTCTAACTGCTAGCACCAAAATATTTGTCTGTAGGTTGAGGTGACGAAGTTTGAAGAGCTGGAAGAAACACACGCAGAATTAAAACTAAAACAAACACTTTGGGATTCAAGCGTTGAATGGGAAGTTAATCATGAGGACTGGATGAATGTAAGATAATATCACTGTAATAATCTGGTATAATTGCCACATTGTGTCATCTCCTGCTTGTCTTTGTGTTGTCCAGTTTCTACTGTAGTTTGGGCTTTGTGCAGGTTTCCTATATGTAAAAATGCTGGGTTACATATTTGGGGATGTTAAAGGTGGATCTTTTTTTCAGGCAATTTTTGAAAACATAGATCCTGAATCTCTGACCAACCAAGTGATGAAATATCATAAAGTTGTTCTGCAGCTTGAGAAAGGCTTGCCACCCAATGCTGTTGTACCGCAACTTCGTGGAAAAGTTGATAAAATGAGACACAAGGTAAGATTTCATCATTACTAAGCAAATGCATTTATACTAGATGGTTCTATCAGTTCTAAAATGTTCTCCTTAGTCCTTAATGGTTCAGCGTGGGTCATCTCTATTGATTCACTGTACTACCGAAGGGAACCTAAACTAAACTAAACTACAGAATACCACAAACCCGACTTATTTGCCATGGATTCATAAACTTTAAATTATATTTCTTCTTGCTCAGCTTCCAGTGATCTCAGACCTCCGCAACCCCGCGTTAAAACAACGTCATTGGGACACGATCCAGCAAGTGTTAGAGCACACGTTCAGTGATGAGGAACCACTGACACTAGGATTGTTGGAAAATATTGATGCTTTTGATCACAGCGAGTCTATACAAGAAATATCTGGTCAAGCATCAAGCGAGGCTTCATTGGAAACACTCCTGAAGAAGGTAACCTGCTGAAAACTTACTATATGTTTACTGAATAGTTGTTCTAAACAGATAGCCCTAGAGGTCCAGTAAGGATTATCTCTTATTGATCTGGTGGTGCTACAGGAGGAAACCTAAACTAAACTAACTTTATTTATACTGGATAGCTCCTTCAGTTCTAAACGGTTCTTCCTAGAGGTCCAGTAAAGGTCATCTCTTATTGATCTAGTGTTACTACAGGAGGAAACCTAAACTAAACTAACTTTATTTATACTGGATAGCTCTATCAATTCTAAACTGTTCTCCCTAGAGGTCCTGTAAGGATCATCTCTTATTGATCCAGTGTTACTACAGGAGGAAACCTAAACTAAACTAATTTTATTTAATAAAATTATACTGGATAGCTCTAGCAGTTTTAAACTGTTCTTCCTAGAGGTCCAGTAAGGATCATCTCTTATTGATCCAGTGTTAGTACAGGAGGAAACCTAAACTAAACTAACTCCCAGGGCGAACGAGGTTGGGCAACATAGCATCACAAATGTTCTCTGTTCATTTGCAAGGTTGAAGACGGCTGGAAAACAACAGAGTTTGTTGTCCTCCCTCATCGTGATTCTAAAGACGTTTTCATTCTTGGTGGTATTGATGATATTCAAGTTCAACTGGACGACAGCCAGGTCAGAGATTATTTTGGATTGCTACCATTCTCAAGGAAAAACAGGACTTTTCTATGCTTACTTGTGAAATGGTTTTGTAAATTAATATCATTTTTGCATGTTACCGCAGGTCAACATATCAACGATTGCGGGCTCACGCCATGTTGGTCCAATCAAGCCACGTGTGGAGGAATGGGTTCGACAGTTGTCGTTATTCAGTGAAACACTGGTAAGTCGATTGCGATCACTGATATGTTGCTTCACCCCCCCCCCCCCCCCCCCCCGCCAAATTATCGCGCTAGGAACGGCCCTGGATTTTTGTCCTAAAAACATGTAATCCATTCATTGTGTTTTCCCTTTAGCGTCCTCAGCCAGTAAAGTTGTTGAGACAAAGACCAATGATATTATAGCTATGGTCTCTCCTGAGAAGGAAAAAGTCCCACTTGGAAAAGTAAGGCTTGCGTTTTAAACCCACAGATCTACGTTGATGTCAGCCTAGATCTAGGCCTTCTATTTTTATTCTTATTTTTAATACTCGGCGCTTTTTCACATGAGAAGACTGGGAGGCAGTACTTTCCAAATGCTAGCCCGAGGCGAGATTGACCAAACCTGCCAAAACCGGCCGAGTAAAGGCCTAGGTCTAGACTGCGTTGATGTTATGTCTAAACTCTGACCTTCATTTAAACAAGCTGTAGAAAGCTCATCCATGTTAATTCCTTCAGGACTGAAAATCTTCATTGTCTTTTCATTGTTTGAAAATCCACTGTTCTTCATGGCATCCATGAAAGTCCGCATTTCAGGTGCACTTTCGCATTTTAAGGAGACGACAATAAAAAATATTTCGCTTTGCTTTCTCGGGGGAGGAGAGGTCCAGAACATAGGGCTGCAAGAGAATCACACTCAGTGAATGATAAAGTGGTTTTGTTTTCTTAGGTTGTGTTGACAGTTTCTCAAACAATGTGGTGTCGGGATCTCACGAAATGTCTCACATCTGATGGAGACAGACAGGAAGAATTGAAAGGAGCCGAGCAAACATCATTTCAGGTTAATCTCATCAAACTTGTCAATGTTCTCTTTACAATTCCTACATGATCTATAACCAAGCACAATATTGTTTTAGAACCTGAACAAACTAGCGGCCCTGGTACGTGGTGAACTGCCTAAAATCACGCGAAGTATACTGTGTGCATTGATCACAATTGATGTTCATGCTCGAGACATTGTGACTGGTCTTGTTGAAGCTCAGGTAAACACGTTATACCCTAGTCTAACCATGCATCTAACGTAGTAACGTATTTATATCATACTGGATTCTTTAACAGTTCAGTTCAGTTCAGTGTTACTACAGGAGGAAATACCCAGAGAAAACTTGCGCTGTTTGGTAAGCTCAAATTAGAAGCACTCTTCTCGCATGCGTCTGGAGTGAAATTACAATCGAGTAACCGTGTGCCACCGATACCTCATTCGTTGACCGACCATTTCCACTCATGAAAATTTTCCGCAGAAAGAATATTTTGTATAATATGTGATTATTGGCCGACACAAATTTTCCGTCGGAAAAAATTTTGAAGTTGAAAAAAAAGTTTGAAGTTAAAAAAATGTTGAAGTTAAAAATGTTCAACTTTTAACGATGATATTTTCGGAAAATTTTCTGTCCGTGAAAATTTTTCTTGAGTGAAAATGGGTCTTAAGACCTATCATATTTGTCTTGTGTAGATTGACAGCGTGGAAAGTTTTGAATGGGTGAAACAGTTACGTTATTATTGGGATCAAGATCTTGACAACTGTGTGGTTCAGATGTCTAATTCACAATATACGTACGGATACGAATATCTTGGTGCTTCAGCCAGACTGGTTATCACACCTTTAACTGTAAGTAGTTGATATCAATGTACAATTTCTATGCGGTTTTTTTATTCAATGCATCCTTTGATATTGACTTGACGTTCATATATGGACACTATCCCGTGACTGTCCTTGCCATTGAGAATTGGCTTTACATTTGGTATCTACATGAGAATTGGCTTTACATATTAATTTATTATACAGTCTTATGTTGATCTATGTTACTTTTAACGTTTTGTTTTATTGCTTATTTTTTTCAAATGTATTTGTACATATTCATAAATACTAATCAATAAAGTTGTTGAATTTTGCTGTCAACAACTTGTACTAACAAAATAAACAACTTCAGGATCGATGCTATCTCTGTCTCATGGGAGCCTTGCAGTTGGATTTGGCCGAAAATGGTAGCAATTTCCGCACGCAATACAAAAGTATACAAAAGTTGCAAACTTTGCAAGGCTATATTTTCAGCATTTTACAACATTTCGCAACCAAACTTTGAAAATTTACTAATTTTAGTATGCTCTTTCTATCTGTGGTGATTTATTTGCATCTCCTTGCCTAGTTTTAAAATTAGTCTATAACATTGAACTATAAATAAACTGGAAGGCTAACTGCTATGATGAAGGCCTATGATTTGATGAAGCCAAAATAGTTTTTCTGAGTTATGAGCAGAAATACTTGACCCCAAACGTCGGGCTATATATCAAATTGAAGCTATTGAAAATTGCTATTCGGTGTGAAAATTTCAAGACTTCAGCGAAAAGAAAAATATTTAAAAAATACAAAAACAACTGCAAAACGGCAAATTATCGATAATTATGTTTGTAGTTTTTCAATATTTCCCTTTTAGCTACAGTCTTGAAATTTCTACACCAAATAGCGTTTTTCAATAGCTTCAATTTGATATATAGCCCAACGTTCAGTGTTGAGTATTTCTGCTCATAACTCAGAAAAACTAAAATGCATTGGCTTCAATTTCCCCCCCTGAGTTAGCCTTCCAGTTTATTTATAGTTCAATGATCTATAATGGGAATTGTCTATTGATTTATTGAACAAGCTTTCTTTGGTAGGGTTGTAACTACCTGGAAAATATAAGGAGAATTTCGAGAGAGAGAAGAATTTCGAGAGAATTTCGAGAAATATAAGCGAAGGCCCTTCGTCTGGAGTTATTTCTTCGTCTTGGTTTATTGACTAACATACTGTACTGTAGCGTAAAATACATGCATGTATTTGCATTCTGATTATGCTATCATTTCTTATAGATGATGGGCAGATTTTTCTCTGGTCTCGCTCAATCTGGGGCATGGTGTTGTTTTGATGAGTTCAATCGTATTGATATCGAAGTTCTGTCTGTTATTGCTCAACAACTCTTGACCATCAGGAATGCAAAACTTGCCAGGGTAAGTCTGCGGTATTGTATGTTGAACTCCAAGGGCGGATTTTCATTTATTTAAAAGGAGGGGTAGAAACATTTCTGGTGGGGTGCAAGTGACACCACAGAGCTTCGGCAGGGGTTAGGTGTTTGGGTTAAAGACTTTCACACAAAATAGGAGGGGTGAAGCGAAATTTTGGTGGGTTGAACACTTTATCAGAGGGGTTAGAGAGATTCTGGGAGGGGTTTAGCCCCCTCCCCCCCCTAACCCATGTTAAACTTAACTAACTTTTTGATATTGCTATAATACCTATATTAGTTTTAAACTGTTTTGCCTAGAGGTCCAGTAAGAGCCACGCCCTATTTGTCAAATGTTACCACAGGGGTAATTGTGGATAAACTGGAGCACCTGGAGAAAACCTGTAGTGTTTGATAGAGTCAAACTCGAAGCACTCTTTTCACATGTGATCGAGGTGAAATTGTAATCAGACAACTGCATATTGAAAGAACGGAATTCCCCTCACAGAGTGGAAAGACACATGACCACCGCGCCACCAACATATTTTTGTCCAAATGCTGTATCAACGAGTCTTACGCCTGTATTCTAAAAGCTCACTCACACTCAATGAGTGGAGGTTCAATCTGAGCTTCTCTCGAGTATCAGTGCTGTTTTTGAATAGCTGGAGGGTTAGTGTCATATACCTTACTATGTGACTACTCACCCTCCAGCTATTCAAAAGCAGCATTGACACTCAAGAAAAGCTCAGATTGAACCTCCACTCATTGAGTGTGAGTGAGCTTTTAGAATACGGGCGTTAAAGGCCTTCTTGGAAAATCATGTGCTGCTTTCATCACCATGAACCCTGGCTATGCAGGAAGAACAGAGTTGCCTGACAACTTGAAAGCTTTGTTTAGACCTATGGCTATGATGGTCCCTGATTATGGTTAGTTTAAATTGTCAGTTGTAGAATGTCTTACTAAATACTGCATACTCTCATGCTTCGGTCAAACGAGAACAAGAGTTGCATGAGAGTTTACATGAGAGTTTTCTCAACTCTCGTGGCCCCTGTCAAAACGAGAACAAGAGTTGCATGAGAGTTGAGAAGCGAGAGTTTACATGAGAGTTTTCGCAACTCTCGTGGCCCCTGTCAAAACGAGAACAAGAGTTGCATGAGAGTTGATGAGAGTTGAGAAGCGAGAGTTTACATGAGAGTTTTCTCAACTCTCGTGTCCCGGTCAAAACAAAAACAAGAGTTGCATGAGAGTTGATGAGAGCTGAGAAGCGAGAGTTTGTATATGAGAGTTTTCTCAACTCTCATTCCCCGGTCAAAACGAAAACAAGAGTTGCATGAGAGTTGATGAGAGTTGAGAAGCGAGAGTTTGTATGAGAGTTTTCTTAACTCTCATGCTCCGGTCAAAACGAGAACAAGAGTTGCATGAGAATTGATGAGAGTTGAGAAGCGAGAGTTTGCATGAGAGTTTTCTTAACTCTCATGCTCCGGTCAAAACGAGAACAAGAGTTGCATGAGAGTTGATGAGAGTTGAGAAGCGAGAGTTTGTATGAGAGTTTTCTCAACTCTCGTGCCCCGGTCAAACGAGAACAAGAGTTGCATGAGAGTTGATGAAAGTTAACTGGATATTACCACACGCGTAGCGAAAACTCTTATGAACTCTCATCAAAATTCTGTGTCCATACGTTCAATTCAACTACCTTGAGTGCAGTACTTTGCTGTTCTAATCTTAATTCCTTTATCCGTAGCTCTTATTGCTGAAGTGATTCTCTACTCGGAGGGATTTGAATCCTCGAAGAACTTGGCTCGTAAAATGGTTCAAATGTACCGCCTGTGCAGTGAACAATTGTCCCAACAAGATCATTATGATTTTGGAATGAGAGCCGTGAAGTCTGTGTTGGTGATGGCAGGTGCTTTAAAGCGAGGCAATCCAAATCTCAGTGAAGATGTTGTTCTCATCAGAGCTCTACGGGATAGTAATCTACCCAAATTCTTAGCCGATGATGCCGTGTTATTCAGGGTGAGTTTAGCCTTAAATCAACTCTCATTACCGCTAACTAACCATCGCTAATACTATAGATAACCCTCATCAACACTAACTACCTTGCAGCACTAATTTCCCCTTATTAACATTGACTATCTCTCATAATAATCGATTATCCTTGATCAATCTTAATTCCTCTTATCAACACTAATTCACCCTAATCAACATTAAGACCGGGCACTATTAATTTCCCATTAATGTTTTCCATCAGTCATCAACACAAATTAACTCTTATCAACACTAATTAACACTATAAACTATTCCTCATCAGCACTTGTCATCCCCTCATTAGACAGATTTAGATCGAGGACGCGGACGTCAAAGACGACGTGAAAATGGCGTGTTGTGCCCATGTATGAATATGCCACGGCATTTCCACGTCGTCTTTGACGTCCGCGTCCTCGATCTAAATCTATGTATATTAACACTAAGTAACCTTCGTCAACATCCATTAGTCATTCTGGCGAACTATCGTATTTTCCCGTCATTTCTCGTGCATTTCAATTTTCCATATCCTTTCAGGCTATATTGTCCGACCTGTTCCCTGGACGAGAAATTCCAGATCACGATTATGGGAAATTACAATTAACAATTGAAGATTGTTTACTTGAACAAAAGTTGCAGGTTCGTTAAATGAAGATGCCAAATATGAAATGGTTACATTTGCACTTCTCTCTTTCGATCAAATTTTATTTATAGCTAAGTGTTGAGTTTTCTGCAACATAGGTATACAGTGAAATGTTGTAGACGTGTAGATACTACATGGAGAAACCACACCGAAGTGGACCAATCTGATGCAGTATTGTTTTCTAGGTTGTACCAGCAATGGTGAAGAAAACCATTCAACTGTATGAAACAATGTTGGTGCGTCATGGTGTTATGTTGGTTGGACCAACTGGTGGTGGAAAAACTACTTGTTATGAGGTAACATCGCTGCCATCTTTTTCATCGCTATTTCAAGAACAATGTACAGTCGCTATTTCATGAACAATGTACAGTCGCTATTTCATGAACAATGTACAGTCGCTATTTCATGAACAATGTACAGTCGCTATTTCATGAACAATGTACAGTCGCTATTTCATGAACAATGTACAGTCGCTATTTCATGAACAATGTACAGTCGCTATTTCATGAACAATGTACAGTCGCTATTTCATGAACAATGTACAGTCGCTATTTCATGAACAATGTACAGTCATGAACAATGTACAGTCGCTATTTCATGAACAATGTACAGTCGCTATTTCATGAACAATGTACAGTCGCTATTTCATGAACAATGTACAGTCGCTATTTCATGAACAATGTACAGTCGCTATTTCATGAACAATGTACAGTCGCTATTTCATGAACAATGTACAGTCGCTATTTCATGAACAATGTACAGTCGCTATTTCATGTACAATGTACAGTCCTTCAAAGAATTCCCGCCTTGTCGGACGATCTACAAAGCTATTAATTGATTTTCTATTTTCATCACTATAGACTCTGAAGATGACTCTAACAAGTCTACATGCACAAGGAATCGACGATCCTGATTATTTACCAGTGCATACTTACGTTCTTAACCCTAAGGTAATGACTGGAATTATTTTGAGTACGTTTCATATATAAGGCTTGAAATAGCTGTCTACCATTGACCTCTCCTTCCAGCGCTGCACTGTTTTATGCAATAGATATATTGCATAAAACTACACGTAAGATATTGAATTTCTTTTGTGTTTCCTTTAAGTCTATCAGTATGGGCGAACTGTATGGAGAGGTGAATAAATTGACTTTAGAGTGGCAAGATGGGTTGATGGCTTTAACAGTACGTCAAC